TTTTTTTTTTTGCAAAAGCGAGAGAGAAAAGCCTAAGCATGCACAGTGTGCAGAGCATGAGCCTCTGTCTGCAAAAGCGGCCCCTCTGCCTGGCCTTCTTGCTTCTCCATCTCCTGGGACAGGTAAGAGGCGCACCCTTAAGATGTCCCTGTTTACTTTGCCTTCTAGGTGGCCTCTGCTTGGTCCCCGGGCTCGCTCCACTTTCAACTGCCGCTGCTAAGGAGTTTCTCTTTCTTGTCTCACCCATCTCCAGGTCGCTGCGACTCAGCGCTGCCCTTCCCCGTGCCCGGGCCAGTGCCCCACGACGCCGCCTACCTGTGCCCCTGGGGTGCGCGCGGTGCTGGACGGCTGCTCCTGTTGCCTGGTGTGCGCCCGCCAGAGGGGCGAGAGCTGCTCGGAGCTGGAGCCGTGCGATGAGGGCAGTGGCCTCTACTGCGACCGCAGCGCGGACCCCAGCAATCAGACTGGCATCTGCATGGGTAAGTCTGAGGCCAGGCTGTTTGACCTATGCTCCCCGCAGCTGGCCGGAGCTGCTCCCTCCCCTCTCCTTTCGCCCCTTCCCAGAGGGCAATAAGCTAATAATAATCATGCAGTAAGTGACTTTTATGAAGTACTTACTGTGTGCCAGGCATGGTGTGGGGACACTTGGCGGCTTTGATGAGTGCCAGAAGCCGGACAGGAAACCATGGAGGAGGGAGGCATTCCGCACTTGCCTCCCCATAAGAATCTAGTGGGGAGAGAACCAGGGTGAAGGAGCAGTGAAATCATTTCCTCTGGACATTTCTAGGAGGGGGCGACACTGGGGCTGATGGAAGCCTGTGCTTATTCGCTTATAAACGGGGGCTTACACAGTTCCCTAACTGCAGGCCAGCAGGTTTGTTTTCACACCTGTAATGTCCCTTTTGAAACCAAGCAGCCCCCAAGTCTCCTGGGATAACTGTGTAACCCTTCTGCTGGCTGCAAGTAAAATCAAATGCAGGCAGCTGGCCAATCCAGGCTCCTAAAATGTAGTGAGTCGGGGGTCAATTTTCCACGTGGTTCACCACTGCAGTGGGAGGTTGTGTCCCTGCCCCCCTGGGTAGGAGGGCTTTTATTATTTTCTCTAAGTTAGTGATGATTTATTGTGCTTGAACGCCAAGAAATCCTAATGTCCCATTTTGACCAGTTAACCTGTTTTGGAGAAGATGGAGTACACTAAAGTCTAAGACATTGGAGAGGGGGACTGGGAGGAAAGGCTTGCAACAGGGCTTAACAGTGGGAATGAAAGCTACAGGGCCTTGGGAGGAGCACTCAAAGTTGCATACTTCATGCATAAAGTGAGTGGCAGGACTGGATGGCTTTAAAGGTTGCTTCTTGCTCTGGGAGGCCTTCACGGGGACCTCTGTCCACTGGAGATATAAGAAACTGCCAGAACTACAAAGGAACAACTTGGGGTTTGGTGCGCACCCTCCAGATCTTACCTAGCTTCTCCAGTGCATCATGTTCTTGTTTTTCTCTCTCCTCCTTCCTCTCTGCTTCACTTCCCCCATATTCTAGCGGTAGAAGGAGACAACTGTGTGTTCGACGGGGTCATTTACCGCAGTGGAGAGAAATTCCAGCCAAGCTGCAAATTCCAGTGCACCTGCAGAGATGGGCAAATTGGTTGTGTGCCCCGCTGTCAACTAGACGTGCTACTGCCTGAGCCTAACTGCCCAACTCCAAGAAAAGTTGAGGTGCCAGGAGAATGCTGTGAAAAGTGGATTTGTGGCCCGGATGAGACAGAAACTTTGGGAGGCCTGACTCTCGCAGGTGAGAAACTTAGGATACGGGGGGCTATGCACAACACAGAGTAAACACAGGCAGGAAGCATCTGTCATCTTTTGCATTTGAGGAGAGAAACTGGGCTCAGTTTTTGGCCACCGAATGGTGGATTCCAGATTACTTACTGAAATCAAACACATCACGTCTATAAATCCAATGTAAGTTGCCTGAAGTATGTTACATTTTCTCTTAAAGAAGACTTGCCCAATTCAGTTGCTTTTATGTCTCATTTTTGTCTTACTGGATTTGTGTCTCAGTCCATCCACCTCACATGACCCTTATTAGCACTGCAAAAATGAAATTAAAATCCTTTTTCTTTTCTAGATTCTATACACTACCTGACCCCTCAAAATTAGCCTCCATAACGAATGCTACTTATCCCCAGACAGCTGCCACACACACACCACACAAATCGTCTTTCTAGTTACTGTGGGAAAGGGTCAGATTTAGGATCTTTGTTTTGTTCTTATTTCTTTTAATCTTATAAATTAACAAGGGGGTTGGAGGAGAACCTCAGGAGGCAGTAGAGATTATTTTAGGAGCCATTAATCAGCCAGGTGGTTAATAATAGCAATATGCAGAGTTTTATGGTATTTCTGAGCTCAGACAGTGTCAGCGTGTCTTAGAGATAGGAAAACTGCCATGCAGAAGAGGACACGTGCCCCAAGCCCGGCATATTTCATGTTGTGACTGAACTTTTCATAATCGAAATCCAAATGTCTGTATCCCATAATCAAAAATACCCATTCTACCTCCCTAAAGAAGTAATGTTTTCATTACTATTTTGACTTGCCTGGTTTACTTATTCATCACAATTAAAATTTTATCATGATCCTTTTTATATAGAAAACACGTGTTGAAATCATTTTAATTTATGGAATGGCTATTGATGCTATACTGTTCTGTACTCTTCAAAGTGCTAAACTTCTTAATGACAAGTTTTCCTAAGCTTCTTAAGGTCATAAGGATTTCTCGAAGGCCCTTCTCTGTCATTGTGCTACCTGTTAGGGGTATATAAATAAGAAGGTCTAGTTCTAGGAAGGTGCATGTGGCTTAAAGGAGTAGGGCGCCGGCCCCATATGCTGGAGGTGGCAGGTTCAAACCCAGCCCCAGCCAAAAACTGCAAAAAAAAAAATCTAGTTCTGTCTCCCAGGAGCAGGTGTTTGGTAGGCACAGGGCTGAATGAGACCCACTTTCTAATGATGCTAAAATACCTGCTGTTGTCCATCCTCACATTTGACCCAAGAGAACTGTTGTTATTTATACATTCCATAGCCTACAGGCCAGAAGCCACCCTAGGAGTTGAAGTCTCTGACTCAAGTATCAACTGCATTGAACAGACCACAGAGTGGAGTTCGTGTTCCAAGAGCTGTGGCATGGGTTTTTCCACCCGGGTCACCAACAGGAATCGTCAGTGTGAGATGGTGAAGCAGACTCGGCTCTGCATGGTGCGTCCCTGTGACCAAGAGCCTGAGGATCTAATGGAGAAGGTAGGAACCCGGAGCAAACCTATGACCCTGAAGGCAGAAGCCTTGGCTTCATGGAGCCTGGGCTTCAGAGGGTCACCATGACACTGACTGAGAAGTCAGCTCTAACTGGAAGTTGACCCCAGACAAAAGGCAGAGAGGTTCCTGAAGCCAGCCTGAGCACCGTTTTTTTTTATTCTCTCTCTCTCTTTAATGTATTGAAATGCCCCAAGCAACTCACAGCTGATCTATAGGTAAAGAAGGAAGCCAGACACCTGTAATCACTTCCCAGTAGTCTAGAAAATCTCATTCCATTGCTGGAGAAAGTTGGCTCCCCAGTTTTCAAGCATGACTGATGTAAGAGTGATGAGTTCTGACCTCAGTTCACTTCAGCCCTTAGGTTCAGTCTTCGCAAAACAATAGGATAGGGACCATGTTTGTTCACCTCTCAGTCCACACCCTATTGGGTATATATTATTTGCATGATAAACTAACATTGATGATTAAGTGAGCGAGTATCTGGGAATTATTATTGGTATTTTTAAAATCCTAGTGGAAATAGTATATCTGCCAGCATAAGGCAATGTGTACCAAACAAAATAGCACATTCCTTTTCTCCTTTTTTTTTTTTCCTGGAATTGTATCAACTCAGTGTGTTAATGCTGAGTGTCAAGACATGCAGGTCAGAAGCCCTGATCAGTTCCTGATGACATCACAGGCCTTATTGGCAGAATACTATATCAGATAAAATACCCAATTTGAACCATTACATGAACCCTTATAAGACTAAAATAAAACATCTCCTAGCAATTTAAGATTTACATATTTCTAAACTGAGACAACACCATCTAATGTTTAAGGGCACAACTGTGGAACCAGACAGCTTGACTTTATATTCTATCTTTCCAGATGATCTCCGACAATCTTCCTATTCAGACTCAATTCCTTCTCCCATATCATGGGGCCATTGAGAGTACCTACTTCAGAAGTGTCAGGGGGATTAAATAGAATGAATTTGCAAAGTGCTGAGCATAGATTAAGTACTCTGCTAACATTAGCCATCATTACTTAACATTTCTAATTATTAGTAAAATAAAACAGTTGCTGGTGGTTGCATTAGTTATCTGGATACTTCATTATATGATTTTTGTTAAAGTCCATCCTAACCGTATGTTTCCTCTACCAGTTAAAAAGAATGCCTAGACACACTTTATTTCTACAATTATACCTTAAAAGATACACCTCCTCTACAGTTAGGGAAATTCAAACATACATAACACAGTCTTATAGTTTAACCCACACAAGCAGTCTCTCTCTCTCTCTCTCTCCCTCTCTCTCTCTCTCCCTCTCTCTCTCTCTCTCCCTCTTTCTCTCTTTCTCTCGCACACAGAGGAATGTTGCTGACACATGCTTTCTTGTGGATATTTACAAGAACATATACTAAACAATAAATACAGGAAAAGGAAGAAACAGCAAGCCCTTAATATTCTCAAGGGCACAATAACTTCTTTGTTAAATAAGGTCTTTCTATCTCATGCCTCCAAAATTTGACATTTTCCTTTATTTCTTCTCACAAAATTGCATCTCTTTCTGGTAACTTTTATCTTGTTTAATATTGGGAGATATATTTAAGCTGTTTATTTATAGTATACTTATTTCAGAATGATTCTAGAAATTTGTTTGGCGTATGGGGAGATATTAGCATAGTCTACTCACCCCACAAGCTATGGGCTATGCCTAGGAAGGTGAGCAGTGAGGAACTGTGGCAAATTAGTGGATGAAGGACTCTAAGTCAGAGATAAAACATAGTCACTTCTTTGCTGAGTTATCCATATTGGGATTCCACATTAACCATTGCTAATGGAATCTTGAATGAATTCTCATTTTATGAATGAATTCCCTTCATGGAAATTAACCTTAAATCTCATTGTCTTGGAATTTCCTGAAGTCATAATATAATAGAAAGAATGGGCTTTATATCAGACAAAATTGAATACTGTATGTTTTCTGATCACTTTAGCCCTTTGAGACTGTTTCTTCATCTATCAAACTTGGGCAATTGTTCTTTTTATGAAAGACTGTTCCTGATGTGAATGAATATTATTCACAAGGTTAAGTGAGTTAATGTCTGGGAAGTATTTGAAACATTAGTAGGCCAGATCTATACCATTTGTCTTTATAAATCCTAAAGATTCATTTGGCTAAAATAATACCAAAGCCTATGATAACAGCTTAAAAGATAAGTTTCTATGTCATTGATAGCTTTCAGCTTCATGCTCATTGCCTCAAGGTCAAAAGATGGTTGTGCACAATTAATCATGTTCCTCATATTCCAGGCAGAAAGGAAGGTGAATGCAGGAAGCAATAAAGAATTGTACTTGTCCAAAGGATTAAGGATGGCCCAGATTCCTGTGGTTTATGTATCATTGGCTAGAACTTTGTCACAAGGCCATTACAAGTTCTCAGATAGTCTGTGGCAGCAAATATTTTTAGCTGACTACATTATTCAAGCAAAATTAATGTTCTTTTAACAAAGGAAAAAGACCAATGGATATTGGGAAGGCAACTAACAGGTTATTCCATGCCCCTAAAATGGTCCCATACTTCAGTCCTTTTTTTTTTTTCTCAGAAAGGAAAAAAGTGTCTCCGCACCAAGAAATCCCTCAATGCCATCCATCTGCAGTTCAAGAATTGCACCAGCCTGCACACCTACAAGCCCAGGTTCTGTGGGGTCTGCAGCGATGGCCGGTGCTGTACACCCCACAACACCAAAACCATCCAGGTGGAGTTCCAGTGCTCCCCAGGGCAAATGGTCAAGAAACCAGTGATGGTCATTGGAACCTGCACCTGTCACACCAATTGCCCTAAAAACAATGAGGCTTTCCTCCAGGAGCTAGAGCTGAAGACAAGTGGTGGGAAAATGTAACCTATCTCTCAAGAAACACCACGACAGAGGTAAACTGCGGCTGCTGCATGACCGGACATCAAATGAGCATCAGAGAAATAAGGAGGAACTTCTCCCTTAAGTCCTATGTCTTTTCTATGACCATGTGAGGACATTTCTATCTCCCTTCTTTTTTTAAGGAAAGACATGATTAACTGTAAACTTGGAATCAAGGTAAGCTCAGGATCTGGCGTGAGGATGACTAACTTTCCTGTGGTTTTATGACAAATGCAAATTTCTGTAAATTTAAGAAAGCAGATATGTGACTTCATTTGTAGACTGTATCACATTGCATTCATCTTATTTTGTTGTGCACTAGTGAGATTCCAAGGAAATGTCGCAGTGATGACACAGGAAAGTCTAGGATCATATTGAACACGTTGTACAAATATTTCACCAAACATCAAGGTTTGACTGGAGGATTTTCTCGTGTGCTCCTGGAGGATTCTCTCGTGGGCTCCTTCTTTGGGCAGATCGACTCTGAACTTCTAAGTCCAAGGTCCAAGGAACATACAGCTCTTCAACATGAAGTCCAGGGACTTAATTTTCTCTTTAGTTGTACACTAAGGAACATGCCGTATCTACAGCAATGAAGTGTTTGTTAAGTAGACTGGTGTAAGCATTCTCCACTTCAGACACATTAACTCCTTTCCAAGTGAAAGAAGCTAAGCAGAAAACTCCCAGTACAAAGACGAATGGGCCCTCACAGCCCTCATACATTTGTATCCTGGAAGCTGCTGAGTCCCACTAATTAGTCTTTAATTCAGCAGAAGCAGGGCATATCAGCAGGGATCCACTCATCAGTAAGATGAGAGGTTGCTCACAACCTTGGATGATTTTTGAATGTGTTTTGCATGGATTTTGAAAAAGAAAACCAAAGTTAACATGAATGGTGGTAAGAGACCACAAATTTTATGGGAGTTTAGAATTATTGTAGACATGCCCATAATGTATCCTTGGGCCATAATTATGAAAATTCACCGTTAAGACATTTGTGTATATGTACAAGTATGTAATTTGTCAGGCTCCAAAGTAGGCTGCAATGTTCCATCTATACATTCTTCTAACATCACCATCTGGGTTCCACTTTTCTCCTTTAAAGTATTTATGAAAATATAAATTGTACATTTTGTAAAATATTATTTTTAATTTCTCTACTTGTCAGACATCACTAAATAAACACAATTTTATCGCTGTGACTCCATTATTACTTCTGTGCTTACAAGTTGAACATTGTTTACTGAAAATATAGAATTAAAATTTATGAATTAAATAGGCCATCAGTCAATAGTATCTATTGAAAGCAAAATGGATATTTTTGGATGAGCTCACCACCTCTTATCATAAGGGGAACAAAAGTCAGCTCTTACTGAGCTAGCTGATCCTCACTGCCATAGTCTCGGTCTCCAAACCATTTGTTCAAGCCAATATCTCAAGCCTTGATGTATTTTTTGTGTGGGGGGGGGGGGGGGGGTTTTT